AAGATGAGATTTTATATTTTTAATTTCCTTTTCATGCTGTCCACTGAAACAACCTTGCTGTCCCTTTACCTCACATTCTAACATAAAAGCTTTCTCTCAAGTCTAAATTATATATTTTTTTAAATTACAACCTATTACTGCTTGCAAGGATAAACTTTCTGGTATGTCCTGAATTTCTTAAACTAAAAGTGTAGTGTCTATAATATATGCAGAAATGTAAAATAAGTTGCTCTTTCTTTGTTTTTTTTAATGTTGGGCTGTTGAAAAAAGGAATGCATGAATTTTGGGCAAAGAAAATTAGGAGGAAAAATGGCAGATTCCCAGCCAATAAGTAGATTTTTTTTTTTTTTTTTAATATTATCATGGCATTTGCCAGTGAAGACAGCTGAGTTTGACAGTGCTGATGAATGACAGTACAAATTGAAACCAAGGAACTTTTCTCACAGTTAGAAGTGCATGTGCAAGAATATGTGTGCATCAGTGATCTTTTTTATGGGAAAGAAGGCATTTAGGAGTGAGAGGTTTGGGTAAGGATGTAAGCTAGAAATTCAGAGCTATCATTTGTGGGAGATCAGACACATTATGAGATTTAATTATTGGTTTTAAATATTTATGAAGATGAAAAATGCTTTGTAAGCATTAAGTATAATACTTCCGTCTCTTGTATTGAAGCAAGCAGTATATAGAATAGGATATTTTAATGGTATCATATTGCAATTCTGTAGTTGTGTAATTAATAACTTTCTGATTCTTTGGTAATATTGGAACTTTTCTGTGAATGTTCACATACATAAATCTGCCCTTCAACTTTTAAAAATTCCTTTACTGGGTTTTCTAGCCATTACTTACATATGCCATGGGAGAAATTTGTTATAGACTGTTGGAGACATCCTCAGTGGGCTATACAGGCCACACAGCTTTACAGGTGACAGGCTTGTCAGTATCATTCAAAGTTGGGCAAGTATCTAGGACATGAAAGATAACAAACAAATAAATAATGTGTGTTTTTATCTTAGCATAGGCTAATGTGTGTATGTCATCAGTGTCTAACAGAAGAGGAGTGTAATCTTCAAAGTTTCTAAGCAAAATGTAGAGCTGAGCGTGCTGCACAGGAGACCTCACTCTTAACGGAAGAATTTTATGATCAGTTTGTTAAGGTTCTTAATCTAATTTCACACAGGCCTCAAACCACTTCTTATTCAGTGCTTTCTTTACCCACATCTTACATGCCACTAATGGATTCAGAAAGGGGAACAATGGTGGTTTTACTTATAGCATAAGGGATTTTAGTCACAGCATAGTTCTCGGTCATTTAGGTTAATAAAAAATGAGGGTTTCCAATGTGCACTTAAATTCCGCTAGTAATCTTTTAGAAAAGAATGGGAAAGAGAAAGCATGTGAAGTGAGATAAATGTGTTAGAGGAGGATTGTCATAGCCTGAGTACTTTCTGAGAAACTGAAAGAGGAGAACCCTTAGCTACTTGAAGGAATATGTGATAAACATTCAAGTTAAATTTTAATCAATTATCATTTGCTAACTCAGTAATCAGAAAACTGATTTCCAGTTCCGAGCAGTGACAAAAAATTGCAAATTACCCATAATGAGACCCTGTAAAAGCCTTCGAAAAGTTAATCAGAAGGAATTTATGTAAAATCTAGTAAGGTGCCTGTATTCTACCTTGATTACAAGAACAAATAAAATTACTCATCCTAGCTAGGGGCTAAAGTTTCACTAGCATTTGGAGAGATGGTGTATTTTTTACTATTGCTGTAGAGTAGAAAACGTACTAATTACAGTCAGATGGAAGGTTTTGGTGTTGCCAAATACCCAGTAAGAGGGAAGAATTGGGCATTCTTACATCTATGCAATATTTCACTTACTAAATGTAGCATTCATTATTTTAGCTAATTCTGTCTGTCTTCAGTGGACAGAGACTCTGTCTCTCTCTCTGCCTTCCTTCCTCCATTTTTGTGAGGAAATGGAACCAATCTAAACAGCATTAGACCAGTTTTCTTGATCAGCTTTTAGAAAATTGTCTCATCATGGACCCCAAAGCGAAGTGCACCCTGAGATACTAGTGGAAAAACTCCTTTGTATATTTGGGTTATTTTGCCAGCTGTCTGTATGTAGGTGAGTACTAATAAAGTACAAGAATAGTCATGTGTCACATGATGGCTGGCCTTGCTTGTGACAGGTCTGGTCAAGATGATGGACAGGTCTGGTCAAGATGATGGACAGGTCTGCCAAGAGCCTAGATACAATTTTCTTGGAGACCTGCCTGGAGCGAGCATCAAAACTATGATTTTGAATAAAACATTCTCTGCTCACCCACTGTTTTGTCTATGTGTCTTCATCTAAATGGAGAAAATTCTGTCTGTTTCTGACTGAAACCTCCATGCTACCCTAAGGCCTCTCGTGTGGGGGTGTTCGGATTGTTCCAGGTGTGCTGGCAGCATGCAGCCTGGCTCTGTATGAAAGCCATTTTAAGAAGATAAGGTTATGCATATCCATTCATATTCCGAGTTATGGCCTGAAGTTACTAAGCGAATTTAACAGTGTCTTAAATAAGAGAAGTACTCTAGTCTATTATATTTTCTTTTCTTTTTTTGATTAAGTAATTCTGGTAAAGTGGCATCTTCTACTTAGAAAGAAACATACCTTCTTTCCAGCCAGCCCAGAACAGCACATTGTTTAACCAGTTAGATGCATTTGAAAAAAGTACTGAAACCTGGAGGAAGGGTACTTGGAAAAAAGATGGTATTGAGTTGTCACACTAGAAAAATTCCCACAAGGAAATGAGTCATTAACCTATCCTAGTGTTTTGCACAGTTGTTGTCATTGTGGGTGAGGGGGATTGTCTGTACCTGCACAGGGCTGTGAGTTGGTACGAATGTTTGCGTTTCAGGTTATGACTGCACACTGAATCTGTTGTGAGTAACTCAAGGAGAGCGTGCAAAAGTATGAATTTGCATGCCTTAAATAGGTAACTGATCAAAATAGCACTTTGGTGATGGGGTTAAAAAAAAAAAAATCCCTAAAAGTAACAAGTTAATTTGTTCAACTGGTATGAATGATGGCTTCCAAGTTTTATTGTATGGCAAGCCATCATTTGAGATTTGGCCATGTTGGTACGTGATCACAGTAGATGTGCCTTTTTCACAACTTGCACCAGCAAGTTAATGATGGTTAACAATTTGTAGTAGATGTAGTAGATGGTGGTTGTTTCTGCAGACCTCGGCAGCTGTATTTACTGTAAAGTTTTTACTTACAGTATTTTTGTTACCTCACCCATAGCATGTTAGAATTCTTAAAATGTTTTGTGTTCTTCCTATGCATTTTGCTAGTGTTTGCATACTAGTGTGGGATGTTGATATCAGAGGCCAAAAAGAATCCCTAAGACTGACTGCTGAGAGGTGTTCTAAAAAAAGTCTCTTTACATCTCCTGAGTAGAACTGGAGTTAGCATAAATATCCTTTCCATCAAATCTATCACAGATACTGCCATATATGTGGATTTCAACAGAAAAATAACAGTTAAGTAAATCTAGGTATCTGATGCAGATGAAAACAAGAAAATTCAGAAGTCTGTGGAGATAAATATCTAAACATGTAAAAACCCACTCTCTGGCAATCAGAATTCCGTACTTCTCTAAGAAGTTTTATTAAGGACTTTTTGTAAATTAGTAGTTCTGCCAGCAGCTTAAAAAAGGTGCGGTGTTTTTTTGTTGGTTGGGTTTTTTTCAATAACTGTGATACTCCTTTGCCAGAAGTGCTACTACCATCTGCAAGGACAGCAGAAGCCTTTTTCTAATTTGTTTTTCTATTTCTGTAAAACACTCTAGGTACCTAATCAGGTTACACTGAGACTTCATTTATTGAAGATTGAAAATTTCTCTAGTTATGAAGTTTGTTTCAGTAGAAGTGGTTCAAAGTATAATCTATTCAATTTTTATAAACTTTAGGAAAACAGTGTCATTAAGTGTTCTGGAGTCACACAAGAATATTTTAAAATATATTACCAAATACATTTTTTTTTTTTTATTGAAAACATGTAAGTTATAAGCTGAAGAACCCTATCAGGTAACCTAGAAAAAATATTGCTATGGGAAAAGTTGATTGGTTGCATGCTTATTTCTCGTAACATTGTTTTGTATGTAGACTCTCTTGCAGCCTCTTTCATTATGGTCAGGATAAAACTTAAGGGAGATATTTAAAGCAAAATTTTGGCTTCATTGCTATTAACTGTTGGTTTTTTTTCCTGTTGCATGGAATCACAGAATGGTTTGGGTTGGAAGGGACCCTTAAAGATCATCCAGTCCAACCCCTGCCATGGTCAGGGACATCTTCCACTAGATCAGGTTGCTCAAAGCCCCATCCAACCTGACCTTGAACACTTCCAGGGATGGGGCATCCACAGCTTCTCTGGGCAACCTGTTCCAGTGGCTCACCACCCCCATCGTAAAAAAATTCTTCCTTATATCTAGTTTAAATCTACCCTCTTTTAGTTTAAAGCTGTTACCTCTTGCCCTATCACTACAGGCCTTGGTAAACAGTCTGTCGCCCTCTTTCTTATAAGCCCCCTTTAATTATTGAAAGGCTGCAATAAGGTCATCCAGGAGCCCTCCCTTCTCCAGGTTGAAACACCGCAACTCTCTCAGCTTTCATCGTGGGAGAGGTCTTCTAGCCCTCTGATGGTTTTTGTGGCCCTCCTCTGTGCCTGTTCTAACATGTCCATGTCTTTCTTGTGTTGGGGACCCCAGAGCTGAATGCAGTGCTCCAGCTGGGGTCTCACCAAAGCGGAGCAGAGGGGGAGAGTCGCCCCCCTCAACCTGCTGGCCACGCTTCTTTTGATGCAGCCCAGGGTACAATTGGCTTTCTGGGCTGCAAGCATACATTGCCGGCTCATGTCCAATTTTTCATCCACCGCTATCCCAAAGTCCTTCTCTGCAGGGCTGCTCTTGATCCATTCATTGCTGGTTGTGTGGTTGCTGTATTCACAGCTGTGTTTTGTGGGAAACAGGGAACAATTTTTAATGCTGTTTTTTTCTCATTTTTCTTTTTTAACTCTCTTTCAGAATTCCCCACTCTACCAATATCTGCAGGATTTGGGACACACAGATTTTGAAGTATGTTCTTCTGTGTCGCAGAAGGCAGAGCAATGTGCAGCAGCAGAAAGCCAAAAAGAGCGGACTGTGCATGCTGCCCAGAAAGTGAGCACTCTCCCGTTCCTGAGTATTTATCTTCTCAAAAGAGAACTGTGTTACTTCACAAATAGGCAAAATCAGAAGGGATAAAGATGAATCTCTTACTGTATTTAAAAAAGAAAAAAAAAACCCAAACCAAAAAAACCCAACCAGTTGTCATATCTTGTCTGCAAATATGTTTGGAAATGCATGGTTTGCCAGTATAGTTTGAAGTGTTTCTTTGCACTTGTGTAAGCTAGGGAAGCAAGAGGCTTTGATAGTGAATTTTTTGAGTGTTGTAAATGATCTTATTTACTGGATATTATTATGTTAGCTTAACATGCCATTCTGGGAACAAAACCTGTAATTTTCTGGAACAGAATATTTATAGTTCTCAGCCCTTCTCAGGCTAAATATTGCTTACTCTGTGACAAAACGTATTAAGAAAGAGGATTTCTGGGAAGTATAAATACAATAACCAATCTGAATGAGATAGTAGAACTGTGGTTAGGTTATGGCAATTTTCTAACAGCTGACAAGGATCATCAACTGCTTAGCTCAGGCTTCTTATTTATCATTTTAACTGAAGTCTTGTGGATTTTTTGTAAACATTTTGGTCTTAAAATTATGCTTGATAATTTGGCTCATTAACACCTACTGTGGCCTACACGTTTTTTGTTTTCCTTATTAAAAATAAATGGTATTTTACCATTATTGGTAGTGTACAAGCAATGTGACTCAGATGAGGAGCTGTAGTGTGGGCGAGGAAATTCCTCTTTTGAGGGAGCTAATGTAGGAATCTCTTTGCAACAAGTATATTGAAAATTCAGTAGTCAGTCTGTCTTCTCCTTAGCACCTAGATGGAGCATGCAAAGAGCAGTTATTTTCTGCCTACCTCTTTCACTTCCACAGTGGAGAGTGCGGTTTTTTGTGGACATGCTCCAGCTATGTGCTAAGCCAGGAGGAAAAGGAGGCCTCCATGCAGACCTCTCTGTCCTGGCCACTGCAGGCTGAGGTGGGCAGTGCCTTACAGGTAAGAACCCAAACCAAGCATTCATGGGTTGATGTATTGCCTCTGAAGAATTACCATTTCGTTCTCCTCTCTCCCCACCATCTCCAGTAGCTTCCATCTTTGTGCACCTTAGTTCGTCTGTTTCTTGCCCACTCTGGCTTTTAACCTTCCACTGGAGCTCAGTTTTCCTGTTGTTCATTCCTGGTTTATATCTCTTCAGCTATCTTCAAATCAGAAGTTCACGACCCCTTCCCTCTCATTTGTAAGCTCTGCTGCTTCCCTGCTCCACCATGTTCCATCCTCCCAATTAGCTGGCAGTGAACTCGGGACAGCATCCTATTTTTCCCAAACACAGGCAATATGAGTGGCCCTGAGATCTCCAGAACGTCTCCCTGCAGATTGTGGTGGATGGAAGATCATATGGCAAATGAGGGGATCTGATGCTTTTCTTAGGATCTTTTCTCAAATAGTGCCATCTTGTCGTATATCTGCTACTCAGTTCTCAAGATGCTTCAAGGAATTAGCCAAGTAATAGTCACAGTTAGTTAGGCTTTATTTCAACAAAGTTTTTTCACTTTTGTGCATTTCCCTCTTGTAAGGTTGGAAGTATTTTTTTCTTGTGGGATTTTTAGTCTGTTCTGCTATGTGTAGGATCTTAGGTGGGGTAGGATTCAGAGATGTATGAATTGATGTGGATAACACTGGTCAGTTTTTTTCTGATCAGGGGAAGAATGTGTGGGTTTTTAAACGTTTGTAGTGTGTACTTGCAAGGACTGACATGCCCAGTCTTTGAAGTGGAAATTTAGAAGTTGCAGTGTGAAGCTTATTCATCTAGCAGTATTCAGAGAAGTGTTGGTATGTCATATTTTCATATAGTGATACTCGTTTCAACCACTCTCTGTATAGACTCTGTAAACGTCCTCACACACTCATTAGTCCATTTGAAAAGACGGTAATAAAACATGAAACATTTTGCTCTGGTCTTCAGTCCTGTTGGAGTCTATCTTCATGCACAGGTTGGCCATAGTTTGTGTTTACCTGCTGGGCGGGTGCACTGTGCACTTTGCTTCACAGCCTCGATCCACAGTTTCTGAGACTTGTAGTCCTATGGAAGTGTGTCATGTCTCCCTTCTTCTTTCATGCCCCACTTCCTGATCAAAGATGACCACGTATATAAGATACAGGGTACATATACATTGAGCAGACCTGTGAGTACCACTGCATGCCTAGCGCATGGATTAGACAGAGCCTGTAAAAAATAATCATACTATCATTGTAATCCTTAAGTTTTGTACTGTTCAGCTGTGCTCTTGCAGAGCTTGCAGTTTTTCAGAGAGCTCAGCGATCATGTAGACAAAAACTACCAGGCAGCTTCATACAGAACTCCAGTCTCATATACTGAGGATTTGTGAGCCTAAGAAACAGCTTAACTGAGGGGAGAAAGAGAAGTGATACTTGTAGTGTCCCCATGCTTCATTGGCTGGTTTCGCTAATGTAAGATTATTTTAAATTTAATGATTAAATTGATTTCTAGTTACTGCTGATGTGGATAGCTACTACATTTGTAATAATGATTGCTTCTATCAGTGGTCACAAGGCAAGGCTGAATTTAATTCAGGGTTTAACTCGCAATTTGTTGTACTTTAATTTAAACTACCTTTAAAAGGATTCATGGAAATATTAGGTCCACTACCCTTACTTTTCAGAATTGTCAGCTGGCACTTACCATAGCCCTCAAGAAACCGCCTGAAAATGTATTTTCCCTTTAAAGCTATTGGCAGTTCTGTAGTGCATTTACATTGAAGATACTTATTCTGGCTTAGTGCAGGAAGACTTTAATTAAACCACTGTTAATTGAAAATTAGGGTGACATATTTCATTGGCTGGTTATCTGTTCGTTACTATGAAGTAATGCATGGACTATCGCTTGTTAGCTGCATTACTTTATTTTTCATAATTACTTTTGTGGAAGTCAGTAAAGCAGTATGATGCTGTGTTCATGTACATGATTTCCACCAAATTTAATACAAAAGTGCTGTGGGGTTAAGAACCTCACAAGTATTAAGATATACTGCTTTTAAAAGTCTCAAGTAGTCTGGTTTTTTCCCTCCCTTCCCCTCAAGCATTTTAAACTTAATTTTACTGTGTTGGGAGCAAGTCCTCCAGTATTGTGTCAGATGTAGAAGTAATTTGTCATGGTTTGCCTTGCAACTTGAAGGGAGTGGGTGTGTGAAGATGGGCTGTCCATTTCTTTCAAACACTAGGATGACATTCACATTGTCTCATCTCCGTCTAGACAGTAGTGGAAATAAGGAAGAGACCTGTGTGTAATTTCTAGTGATAAAACGTCATAGGTTCTTACTGCTGCTGTTCCAGTATCAGTTTGGGAACATTAACACTTCTCTTTTGTAAACTGATGTCAGAAGGTCTGGTTTTGTAATTTGATTTCTGTGTCCCATTGTGGTGGGGTGTCTTAAAAGAAAAGAGAGTGAGGGAGAGGCAGCTGGCCACACGTTTAAGGAAGTAGACTGGATTTAGGAGGATCCGAGGCTTTGTTGCAACTTTTGCATGACATACAGTCAAATCATTTACGTTCCCATCCAATCATTTCCTCATTTTTACATGAGACTGTTATGACTTCCCTTCTCTTGGCCTTCGCTGGCCTAGTCTACTGAAATTATAAAATGTCTGGGAAACAAGTGGTTTCTGAGTTCTGAATATGTACCTAGCCACAATCCTAATATAAAATGATCTTAGTTGAGGCTTAGTGTAATGCAAAGTATAATCACAGGGAGTAGATGATGTTCCATGCTGAGTGATGCATAGTATGTGTGTATCATTTTCCTTCTGTTCTGAAAAACAAATTTACAAATGCCTTAAACACTTTATTAAAATAAAAATAGAAAAGCTGCAGTACTGCTTTGTCTTTGAGTTGAGATTGTTTATTCCTCTTGTATTCAGTCAAGTAGGATCCCTGTGCAGATACAATCTGGTGACATGTAGCAAGATTTTGGCAAAGCAAAGATCTAGTTTGGGATCTTCAGAGACTGGAAAAACAAATCTGGAAAAAAAAGAGGTTCCTAGTGACTAATACAAACGTTACTGCTGTGTCTTGCTGTCCTGCCAAGCAGAGCATATAGTTCAGGCTTAATGAAAGGTAGAGGCATCAGCTGAATTTGAAACACATCTTTAATAGTGCTCTGTGTGTGTGGTTTTGGTGTTTGGTTTTGTTTTTTTTTTTAATTGGAATATGGTCTTAATGAACATTGAGCTGAAAATCTGTAAAGGTGCTTCAAGGTTGTGTTCTGAGGGCTGATGAAATGCCAAGCTCCCGTCTGAGGGAGTATAGAGATGTGATTTAGAATGGTAATTATAGGTGCAGTGTTCCTGGCTGCACCAATCTCTGGAGAAAGTTACAGCTAAAGTTCTGGTCTCATGATCACTTGATACTCAAAACCACTGTTTGCAAGAGCTCCTAGACCTGTTTTCTGGAATTAAATCCTATTTGGGTAATTCTGCTTGATCTTTAAGGAATGTATTTCTTCCCATTTACATTTTTCCTTTCTCACTCATTTTCCTAGACTGCTGTGCATATCTGAATGTTTAAATTGATTATACTGTCACACCTTATCCCATCTTAGATGTGATAATATTTCAACACTAGAACAGGGCTGGTGCTGGAGGCAGCTACTGAGGATTGTGTTGGGGCTAGCCCTCAGTAGCTGTGCAGGTGATCTGATGTGGAAGCGCAGAGGGACCAGTCCTTTGCCTTTGTCTAGGGCTCCCACCCACTTAATGCTAGCTCTGGGGAGCTGGAAAGTATTTAATATATAGCATTACCTTCTTTCTGAAGTGCGCAGAATTGAAAGGTGCCAATGTGAATGATGATATTTTAGATACCTGCTAGTTTGCCATTTCAGGTTCATCCTGTACAAAAAAGAAATAGTCTTTAGAATTTTATTTTAGATTCAAATGAATGTACCTAAAACGTGCGTGTCCTATGCTATTTTTTTTAAATGTTAGGAGTTATGTATCTTTGTTATTCAGTTTACACAGAGTTTCACTGAGTGGTGTTCTAAAGTTGTAAGAATACTCCAGAAGCATTGGCAACATGACCTGACTTGTGTGTTGATGAAAGTTGTTTTACTTGTCAGTAACACTCCCAATGGGAACACAAACTGTGAGACACTATGCCCAGGATCTGAATAATGCAACGTGTTACTGTACTCTACTGGGTCACAGCCCAAGACAGTGGGTTGTCTTGTTTTGTGTTTTCAAGCACTGACATGCCTGTTGAGTATTTATGCAAGCTCAGATATTTATTTTTAAACTAAAACACGGAAAATAAACCAAAAGATTACTTATGTAGCACATTAGTATGGGATTTTTTTCAGTAATTCCACAGTCTAGTTTAGTCAGCTGGTAGCAGTTTAAAATTACCCTTGGTGTAGATTTAAATGTTCATCATAAAAACCCAAAGACTTATGAAGGCTAAGCAGTTAAAAATGGTAGGCTCCAAGAGGCATAATTTTTAATAGTAAATGGACAATTCTTTCTGTACTCTGCTTTCAAAGTACTGGGAAAAGTACTTCTGAATGAAGTATCTGTCTGCAGCTCAAATGCAGAGCAAGAACCTTTGTTTATTTAATGTAAATTTTCTACAAATTGTAATTGGAAAAATTTGTTTTATTTTGTACCACTTTACAAGAAACCTGGAGGATAATCTAGTGCTGCAGTTTGACACTCTTCTCCTCTTCCAACTTATGTCAGTGCCCTTGAGCAACATCAAAATACAATCGTGTGGATTTATTCCATAGTCCGAGAAGTGTGGATTGCTGGGATAGCTCTTCCTAATAAGCCACGATGGTGTCTGTGTATTGGGAAGAGCTATCATTATGAAACCCCTATTGTTGGTTTGCCTCTCCACTGACCTAAAAACACTTCCTTTTGGCATAGCTCTGCAATTCTAACTGTACACAGAAAGACTGAGGCATACATAAAGAAAAACTTGAGTTAGGTTACCTAAATGGACACCAAAGCAAGTTATTCCAAAAATTGTTGAAGCATAAGGGCTTTAGGGTGACAATTTCTGATGTTACTCAAAGCTGTTCTGCCCTGGCTTGTTGCATCAAACTTGCGTGACACTGCCTTTTAGAGGGCTGTCAGGCTGATCACAGGGTGAACCACAAAGCTCCAAGCTCCTGTTGCTTGGTTTTACTCTTCTATTTCCCACTTTATAGTTGGGGGGGGATGAGAAAAAAAACAAAGGGGGGGGGGGGGGGGGGA